TTGATAAGCATATTACTACACGAGAAAAAATTTGACTCATTAAAACGCTAACAAAAAAAACATTGAATTGAAAAATAAGTTCAGCGGAAATTACCGTTAATGAGTTTCGCTTAAAAAAATAAATAATGAAGTAACAAAAAAATTAGCCTCTTAAATAGCTTATTAGCGATTGGCGTGTTAATGTCAACCAATGCTTTGATGTAATCGTGATTGTTTGCTGGTGATTTGACTCTGTTCAAATTGATACCCTGCGAAGGAAGTTATTTGATCGCTGTGAAAGGGATCACTGATTGATGAGGATCAGACTGATGTGTTGCAGTAATATTTCGTCTGAGTGTACTGTAACGGCTATAAACGAACAATTATCATCAGTGATCATGTAATATCTTTAAAGAAATCATTTGAATGTATGCTCTGATTACGGTAGTGAGTGAAATCAATAAAGCCATATTGCAGCAGCCACAATAATAATAATCGAGAACAAACGAACGGCTTTCAAGCTAGTTTATTTTTATCGAATGCGCTTTCTTCTTATTGCAACACAACTCGTTAGTCACGCCCCGCAAGACTAAGCTCATTGGCTGAGAGCCAATCCATCGGTGTCTGATTACTTTACGACTGCTACTGAATTGCTTGCTTGATTGAGATTGTGTTATGAAGGAGGAGAAATGGAAACCCGAAGATCATATTCTGCCTCGGGAAACATGTCTTCCAGTTGTGAGCTCTTCATGGATCGATGCAGCATCGAATTCCACCGGTGCAGATATTTCTGTTCAGGTAGATTCTCATTTATTTATTCACAATATGTTTTTCACGAATGCCTCTGTTTCAGTCATCCAGCGATTTCATCTTATAATCATGCTGTCTTCTTGGGAATCTCGATTTCAAATTGCATCATTTGCTGAGATATTGTTGTTGTTGAGCATTTGAGTGCTTCTCAATAAAGAGTTACTTTGAAATTAATCAGAAAGTACGATTGCTTTTTGCGCCATTCTAGTGCTTGCTTTTGTGCTCAAATGACAGCTGTTCCTATATTGATTACTAGACACAAAGTATCATACTTGAATGACTATCGTTTGCATAAGCATATACATTCATTCATTTTGCCGTTCAACATTCCAATTTTTTTAGTTCATTAATTTGCATACGGTACGCTAATAAAGAACAATAACAATCATTGTTTTCTTAATAAGCCTCTTTTGTATATTGAACTGGAAAAATTCATTAACAAATGCAGAAATTTGATTGATAACTGGCCAGTTTATGAATTTTCAGTATCCGCGCAAAAAATAACCCCATTATGTATGAGTCCTTGGACTTTTCAAGTTCAGCTCTCAAATGTCATCAATATTTATTTCATGTCATGATCGTGTTTCAACTTCAGTTTACCTTCACTGAAATTGCACCAAAAAAGTTTTTTGATTGCCACACCTGAATAGATATTATGCAAGTGTGAAACATAATTAACTTGCTGCCGAGTTGAGTGATTTTTTAAATGAAAAATTATTCATGCTAAGCAATCATATGACGTGCTCGAATAGTATCCAAAATGAATGCATCTTCAAAGGAATCACCATCACCGTCCGGTGCAAGCAGCTCGGACTGTGGTGCGGCATCCGGTAGTACGGCTCGAAGTGCAAATACAGACAATGATAAACTGTTATTAGGCACAGAATGTGTTGTTTGTGGTGATAAATCGAGTGGTAAACATTACGGACAGTTTTCATGCGAAGGATGCAAATCTTTTTTCAAAAGGTTGTTTATCTAGCCATTTCTTGTCATATCTTTGAAAAGAGATTGTCATCACTCGGATATGAATATTATATTGGCTGCTGAAAATTTATATCTGTTATGTGTTCTTTCTATTCCCTTGATCTTGCAAGAAGCGTTCACATTGTTGTTACAATGAAATTACGCCAAGAATTTACCTCTATTATTGTACGAAACGGATCAGTCGTTGCATTTTTTTGCTTCAGAAAATCTCATATTCATTAGATATTACCTTTTGTTTCAACGAATGACATCAGACTGCAATAACTAAGAGCAGCCGTATTATCGAATCAATTCAGATTTGATCTTCTATTACAGGTCTATACGTCGAAGTCTCAGCTACACATGTAGGGGTTCCAAAAATTGTCCTGTCGATGTAAATCATCGAAATCAATGTCAATATTGTCGACTAAAAAAGTGTGAAAAAATGGGAATGCGTAAAGAAGGTTGCTTTGAGCGTGATTATAATTTTTGATCATACTGGTTCATAATCATCACTCGAAATGGCCATGCGAATAAAGCAATAGAATATCATTATTGTTATACTGATTGTTTGATTGAGCATCAATCGCTTGAATAATAATTCAGCGGTTACAATTTCAGAGATGTTGTATTTGAATATAAAATATAAAGTAGTAGCATATAAAGTCACTCTCAATTTCTCTTATTAATGCAGAGATGAGATGTGTTAACAATGGATGCGAGTGAATATCGAAACGTAAATAGTGTGATACTGAATTCATTGAAGAAATAGAATCAGATTGCTAGCTTGTAAAAATTGCTTGAAGAAGCTTGTATATATTTTGAATTGTTTATTGTTTCATATCAGCTGTACAACGTGGACGAATACCACCAAACTCGCAGCATCCTTATGCATCGGCAATGATCTTTGGGGATAATTTGTTAGGCATGAATGCATCTTCAGCATCGCATTTCTCGAATGTTATCTCGCATTTGGTTCGCGCTGAGCCATATGCTCCGACCAATTGTATCGTTTGAGCTTATAATTTACCACTTTTTATTTCTCCTCTCTCAATCTTCACTGAAAATTGTGATCCAAATTTCGATGAGTGATTACTTGCCACTTTTTAAAAAATATTCAAAAATCATTTTTCAGTGTTTAACATTCAGCTATGCAATACTTTCATTTGTACAAATGATTTTCCTTTGACGCTTCGTCGAGATGATTATGAGCGAATGAATGATAATTAATTCCAAGGTTCCTCAAATGTTATGGGCATTGACAATATTTACGAATTCGGTGCCAAACTGCTCTTCTCTGCTGTCGAATGGGCAAAAAGCATACCCTTCTTCAGTGAACTCACTGAAAACGATCAGGTTATTGAAGTTAATACCTCTTCGAAAACTATTTGTGACTAAACCGCTTTCGATAATCTTATTTCTCGATGTTATCTGAAATTGAAAATGTGAATGAATCTCTCGGTCGTTATTCAAACTTTCATGTATGCTTCCTCGTCCATTGCTTATTGCTAATAAGTGTCGCTGATCATTCACCGTTGCAAAACATAGTCAGATTTAAGGCATTCAATATTGTTCTCTAATTAATCTCAATCATCTTACAGCTAACACTTTTACGAGCGAGTTGGGCTGAACTTTTTGTGGTGAATGCTGCACAATTCGGTATGCCCATACATGCGGCACCTTTGCTAGCCGCATCCGGTCTTCACTCAGCCTCACCGTTACCGCCTGATCGCTTGGTCATCTTTATGGATCGCATTCGGGTTTTTCAGGTAGCACTTCATTGCTTCATCAGTCTGCAATTGATTGATTAATTGATTGACTCCTTCTGCAGGGTCAAGTGGAACGACTTAAATCACTCCATATGGATTCTGCTGAAGTCAGTTGTTTGAAGGCGGTAATCCTTTTCAGTGCGGGTAATTTTTTTTTTCTTTGTAAATGAAAGACTTAGGAATCTAATTCATTCTTTTCTGAAACAAAATTCATTCGTTCAATAGAAGTTTGAGATTGGAATCAGATAAATTTATTCGACAAATGCACATATATATATATAATTGTTTGAGCCAATAAGTAATGACATGATATGAATTCGATTTCGATTGACAGCTCAGCGCTCTGGATCAGTAAAGACTGTAGTGTGTAAAGGTGAAAGGCCCAAAAATAGAGTGAAAGGGTATTGTCTCGAAAAATAATTGGGTCATGATGCTACGAGCCAAAACAACACCACCTCTCGATGACATGTTTGCGTTCACTTCATATTTAACGATTCAATTTGAAATAAGCGAATTAATTATTCGTTTCTGAATGGGATCATCGGAACATCGATGACATATTGTCGATGAGAGGATGCGTTGATTCATGTCTTCCACTCTCAATGTATTTTTAATCTCATCTTCTGATTCATGATGATCTGAATCGCGCAAAAAATTAAATTGTCATCATCATTCAGCGATTCTAATCAGTCTCTACTTACTGCCGGCCTTTTTCCCTTCAGTACTTTCTGATTGCATTGTTCATTCACGTTGCTCACTTTATCGATGCAAACAATTTTTGCCAATATCATATATACTTGAATCATGATACTTTCGTTTCATCCCTAATTGAGGTATTAACAACAGCTTGATTGCAAAATGTGTATGATCGCGCACTGAGAAGAATAATGAAGTCGATACGTTAGTGATGAGTGTTTGGATAATATCAAAGAACAAACGCAGAATGATGCACGACTCTACGAACGCTAAAGATGACTCATTTTTGACGACATATGTGGCATTTGTAGCAGCAGGTTGTTCTGTTATGGAGGCGGACGTGGGTAGCATAGGCGTAGTCTGTACTGAGTTATAATTTGAGTAAACGAATGGATAATCTTATTTGCAAGCTCACATTCATGTATGCAAATGAATGCACGCATGCATGTAGCCTCAGGGTTCAGTCTGCAATCACACGCTTAAAATAGTGGGATCAGCAGAAATACATTCACCAAAAATTATCATGGACAGAAAGCTCGAGATATTCGTTCATTTGACACACAAATAACAATGTTCAGAACAAATATTCTCGTAAATTATCACCGTCTGACTGTGAATCGATGAAATTGAAATGAAATGCTTGCTTGAAATTCAGGTAATAGAATAATCACTTATGGTACTGATTGGTTACTTCGAAGTTGTCTTACAATTCACTTGCTATGCTCTTATACTTCAAATGGACTGATTACTACTCAGTGATCAGAATTTAACTTTTAGGCGATCGTTCTAGTCGACTGTTACATCATTTTAGTGATCACTTCATGTATTCACCTTTCAGCTGTCTTCTCACGTAGTACGCTTCAAAACATCGAATCATTTACTTGACTCTAGCCTCTTATCACTTTGTTCTGACACCGCCTTGTTTTATTTTTGAAATATTCAACACATTCCGACATAAACAATTACCATTTGTTTCATTTAGCTTGACCTGCAGACACAATCATTTGGAAGATTTCTTTGTAGGAATTCAGTACCGAAATTTATACTATATAATAGCATAATAGTTGATGTATATATAATAGTTGATCGTAAGCGATCANCTATTAATGTTTTTTGTGTGCTAATGAAATCGTGAAAACAATATAATAATGTTCATTATGAGGTATGTATGAAGAAGAAACAGTACGAGTACAGGTCAGCATGAATGATGTATGGACGTTGATAAAATGTTAAGAGGTGATTGATGATTGACTAGAAGAAAACACCATAAACAATTCGATTAGATTGCCATCTCATTATGATATTAAGTTATATTACTAAATAATAATAAACACCTAATAACAGCCGCGTTTGTCATGTTCTTGTTCGTACAATCGGTTGCTAGCATTAACACAATAACCATTCTTCATTCACATTGCTTCAGCTGCATCTTTTTCATCTCACTTCAAACATTATTAACGACCATTTGTTGTAGCTGTCTGCTGGGTTCAATCCAACAAAAAATGAAGCAACCCATTTCAGCAGCATCCATTCATTTATAGGGATTGAATTCGCGTTCTTCTTATCTGTCCTAGCGAAATCTCTTTCAATCCGTTATAGATGATCTTATATTTCCGAAACGAACCATTTCGTCCATACCTGTTTTCATAAAATCCACTTGAATGAAACAGGTGAATTTTATGAAAACAAATGAGATTTTGAAAGAGAATCTTTTATGAAAATTGTAAATTTTAAACAATCCATAAACTTCATAATAATACATTTATATCATCGCTCTTAATTAAGATTTATGCATTTCTTACCGTTATCCTCACGGACCATGTGACAGACTGCGTTCATGAGTTCGTACTTTGCTATGAAATATTCAGTCATTATTAAGTTGCTTTGCACAAATAGGTCGTTTCGTATATAATTCCATGAACATGCTTAATGTCTCATGGAATTTATCACATGAGGTTGTTTGTTTGCTGATGTGCAAAGCGTTTCGTGCAGATTCTTGAGATTTTATGATTGGTTCGAGCTATACAATAACCACGCGAAATCCATGTAATAAACATTTATCTTGATAAACAAGCAGGTTGCGTCTCTTTCCCTCCTAACGACATAGCACTTAAGAAATTAATCTTCATGATACGAATGCAAATCATCATGCAAAACTTCCGCTTCAATTGACTTATGCACTCATCTTCTGATGTTACCGATTTTGAGTGGTTATTCTGCAAAAGCTAATACAATATTGCTACCAGACCAATTTGAATGTGTACTAACAGTGGCATATACAACGATTTCAAAAATAAAAATGTTTTCACATGTAACTGCATTGAAATACATGTTTGTTTCATATAAATCTGAAGTTTGTGTTGGTTGAAACGGTACACGTCAATTGACTGCATATTGATATTTTGATGGAATGAATCTTTTCTTATTGTTTACAGATTGCTGTGGCTTGAATGATGTAATGCGAGTGGAAAGCATTCAAGAAAGGGTGCAGTCTGCTCTTGAAGAGTACTGTAGAACACAACGTCAACAACAGGTATGTTTTTTTAATTTTAGTGGACAGTATGATGGTTGCGTTCCATTACATTACTTCGCAAGATATCATATGGTCTGTTTCATCTCCAAAGTTGGTATTATGAATTATATCGAACCACCCTGATAAATCGATTTAATAATATGAACTGTTTCACATATTAATTATTTCATAGATATAAATCAGGAGAGCACTTTAAATTGAATGAGCTTTTTAAATGATTTCAGTTTTAGATTGGTCGCTTTGGACGTCTTTTATTGCGATTACCGAGTCTACGAACAATCAGTGCAACAGTGATCGAGCAACTTTTCTTTGTGAAACTCGTTGGTGAAACACCGATCGAGTTTCTTCTCAGGGATATGTTAGGATCACAGAATGAGAATGTTGTTAAGCCGTTCGTTTGGCCTTATCTTATACACTCATAGATGACAACTTCTCGATCGTCATCATCATTGTTGTCATAAATTTTATTTTTTTCTGAAATTTATTCTTGCTGCAGCAATTAGCTGAATGCAATAGATTCACTGATATTGTCAGCAGCCTTCTCAGCAACTTACCTATAATTTGGAACTGTATTATGAGAAGAGGTGTAAGTGTAAGTTAAAGTGCCGAAAAGGAACAATCAATTTGTTATCGGAAAAATCACATTAAAACGAATTGCAGTACTCTGTTATCAGCCAACCGTTTAACCAGACTATTAATCTCATTTTCCTCTCATCTCACTCGATTTCAAGGCCTTTGCTGTACTGAATTGACTGACTTGATTTTCGTTTAGTAATTCGGGTTTCCATTGGACCGTTCTTTTCAAAAGAATGCTTTCTGATGAACTGGGCGACGTTTTTGGATTCTAATCAGGTTGAATTATAGCATATTAACAAAACTAATGCGAAGAAGAACAGTGCAAGAGCTCTTAAAAAGGCTTCTTCTCCATTCCAGATTGTAATCGTAAACTAAAAATGATTCGTGAATGTCGCTGTATCCCAAAGATTTGTTGTGCAAATATAAATATAAAGTGATATTTTATAATTCCAATGGTATTAATGATGCAATGCATTTGTGCATATTCATAAATGATTTGAGTGAGTAACGTTTCATTAAGATTTGTTTTTATGATGCAATGTTCTGTTTTATTTTTTTGTCATATTTATCAATAACGCTTAATTGTACTGTGATTATGGCTGAATTTGTGCTAAAAATTCTTTTTTTTTTCGAACTTTAAGATTTGTTTTTTGTTGTTGTTTTCGTCGATTTTTGCCAAAGATTTGTTCTTATCCGGTTGTTTTTGTTTTAATTCTCATATTCTTATGTTTTCATGCCCGTTACGTTTTACAAGTTACTATGCTGAGGCGTTCCTCCACTCTGATCTATCTCGTTTTTTATTGTTCAGAGAATTTCTTTCTCTTGTCATTGTCAATTAGAGATTCATATTGTGCTAAAGATGCGTCCGTTCATTTCATCATATTTGTTGTCTGGAAGTTTTGGATTGAATTTTTCCAAAATTTTCTATAGCGCAATACTCAATGGAATGAACACATGCAATGTTATTTACTTATCAACCAACGTAAATTCTTTGCATACTATCAAACTTAAAAAACTAAATAGTATCATTCGAAATTTGTCGAATCGTTGACAGAATTCCAACTTTTTCGTTCATACCGTTGAATCTATTGATGTGATAAATATCACAGCAAATTAAATGCACTGAAATTTTTTATTTCTCCCGAAGTTTTTTTTCTGTTTTAACATTTCTGTACACGGTGACATTGAAATGAAATTTGACAAGAATAATGAAAGTAAAAATAATAGTGGTTGCGATTTATGTTGAATTATAAGTGAAGAAAGTGATTGATGAGAATTAAAAGAATTGGATATGAGATGTAATGAGATGAGATGAGCCGGGTGAAGAGGATCGATATGCAGATAGGCCATTGGGTTTGCGATTGAAATAAGATTGACAAATTCGCATGAATTTATTTTATGCACAATTAAATGGACAGCAGCTGAACTGACTCATTCATTGTTCACATTTTGGAGTTGATTCCATTTTAATCCACTTTGGTTCTTTGCTCATCTCATTAACGTTATGAACATCTATCATTCCATTTATGAACAATCCCAGACATCATCTAAATCGTATTCATTCTCAGATTTAGTTTACGTTGATTCGATTCATTCTCTTTTCATGAAAATGGTTTGGCTATATAAAAGCTGTTATATGTGCACAGAGATGGTAGCCAACTATGTGAATAAAATCGAAAATGAATATAATAAAGAGATGATGCTTAATGCAAATTCAAATGACGGCTGTGTGCCCAGCGGGGGTCCAGGTCGATCATTAGCTGAATGTGCAATGCATCCATCACATTTGTGCCTATGGCTATTACTTTCATCTCATATCGCTTACAAATCAATCAACAAATCAGTTCCGGTTATTGATTTTATAGTTGACTGCGTTTCTTTCAATTCATTCATTCAGCACTTCTCAACAATTATGCTGATTTGTAAATATTCCTAATGCCATTTATATGTCTACGTATACATGTGCGCATATATATATATATATATATATATATATATATATATATATATATATATA